AGACAAAAGTTAAAATTAAAATTTTTTGTACAGATGAAAATTTGACATATGCATTTGTAGATGTTGAAGAGCTGAAGTCGAAAGGAATATTTGTTTCTTCAGCTAAAAGTTATAATGAACTAAACAGTAATGAACGTGAGTATTTAATAAAGATATAGAATTTAATCTTTTAATGTTAATAATGCTAAACATAAACAAGAAACATTGTCATTTAATTGCCTCACTAATATAAAACATAATAATACATAGCTACTCGTACTATAATTGTTTTGAATATGGTCAGTATGTCCAGTGTAATCAAGTTATGTCTTATTTATAGCGAATAGTAACACAATTATGAATTAACTATAAAATCAAATACATCTCAATATTGTACCCATTTTTTTTTTTTAAATAAGTAACTTAGATTTAAGTACAAATAGTGTAAGAAATCTGGTGTTTGAGAAATCAATCAATCTATTATTTTACTAATTTTTCTTAAGATACTGACTCGTATATTATACAGTTATTAATAATTCAAAATAATGTACTGTAACTTGATGTAAAGAATACATTTGTCATTTATATTCACTATTAACAAGGAATAACGAAAAAATATTTTTTTATAAATTATTTGTATTTGTTGTTTAGAATCAAAAGTATCTGGAGATGACGATCCAAAAGCAAAAAAAGGCTTATTTGATTGTTTAGATGATTCCATTTCTAGCCATGACGAAGAAGAATCTTACTCTGTCCACAATGTTACTTCTAAACAAAGTAAGTAATTAAAGAAAAGTATTGTGATATAAAAATGATATTCTTAATCTTTTTCCAACTATGATTTCAGAAATTACTGAAGAAAACAGTGAAGTAATTTGGACTTCAAAGCTGACAAAAGCTTTAATATCAGAAAGAATAGAAAGCGACTCATTATTTCAACGGCCATCTTGTAAAAAAATAAAACTTTGGAGGTCTATCGCTTTAAAATTAAACTCTGCATTTGAATATAAAATTAACCTAACAGATAAACTTTGTGACAGAAAATGGAGAAACTTATGGCAAACGTATAAGGCAAATGTTAAAAAATCAAATAGTACTGGTACTGATTCAATTATTTGGGAATATTATGATTTCAATGAGCACTTTGGAACCAAAGATAATATAAACCCACCCGCCACTAACTTAAAAGGTTCACTTACATTGGCATCTACTTCAAGTAATTATTTTACTTCAAAGGTCAATTCTCCACCTGCCAAAGACATTCTACCTAGTACATCACCAATCACTCGTAAGTCTCCCTTAAAACCATCTCCAAAAAAGAAACCTATGTCAAAAAAAAGATCTTATGGTATGGACGCATATATAGATCTTAAGAAAGAAGAACTTGTTAAAATGGAAGAGCATCAAAAGAGGTTATTGAGTATCAGAGAAACTGAAGCTAAAGCACTTTCTGATATAGCCTCAGCTTTAAAATGTCTAGCTGATAAAAGTAACTTATAAGTTAATTAGTTTAACTGTATTATACACAAAACTGTTGATTATTAAATATTTTAACCAATGACTGCAGCTCTAGTCATATGGTATTCAATAATATTTGTTTTATAATCTTAATTCAAGAAGACTTAAATATTTCTATCTTAAATATTATATTTATCAAAATGATTTTTATTTGTTATTAAATAGCTTTTTTTCTCATTAATTATTTATAAGTAATGACTGCAGCTCTAGTCGTAATATGGTGTTCCATATTATTTATATTTAAACTTTATGTTTTATAATCTTATTAGTTCAAGAAGACTTTTAACTAACCTAACCTAACCTAACCTTAAGACATTTTTCAGTTAAATATTATATTTTTCAAAATTATATATATGGATTTTTATGCATTAACTTTTTACGTTTTATATTTATTAATTATTATTATATTTTAAGTAAATTAATGCTGTTTTGTTTTATTAAATTATTAAAAAATAAAAAAGTACAAATGGAATTGATTTATATGTATAAATAATATTAACACTGGTAATATTGTAAAATTAAAGAAGTAAAATTGAAACCGTATAGCTTATAAGCTTTTAGCAATAGATTCTCTTAAAGTCAGAACATCGGATGATCTGGTTATCTGTGAACTAATGTTGTCTTCGTCTTCTTCCAAGTTGAAAAATGAATCATCAGTGAGGTTATCCACACCTAAGTCTGTTTAAAAAATAAAAAAATAAATAATGGTTTATGAAACGCACTTTTAAAGAAAAATGTCTGCAATCAAAAATTACCTTGATCTGAACACATATTGTGTATTATACAAGCTGCAATAACGGTTTCTGAAACTGCTTCAACACATAATGTTTCAATACCTTTTAACCTCCGAAATCTACCCTTTAGACCACCAAATGCTTGTTCTATTACAACTCTGCTTGAACTCAATATTGTATTAAACTTTTTTTGGTGTAATTCTAAATGACCATTGTCACGATAAGGTTTCATTAGGAACTCTGATAATGGATATGCTGAATCCCCTAAGATGAAACAGTTTGGAGGAATGATTTCATAATGATTTTGTATCAATTTTTTATGTACAGGGCTGTTAACCCAAACTGCAGCATCATGCGATGACCCAGGATATCCCACAAATACATTAATGAACTTTCCTGAAATGGAGAAATATATTTATAAATGATACCTAATTTATTTTATGGCTATAATAAACAGTTAGTATACAACTTATTAATTACAATAGGTACCTTCAAAGTCACAAATTCCTTGTATAATAACACTATGATAGTGGTTTCGATTGAGGTAACTATTATCACTTAGTGAACCATTAATGCGTATATGTGAACAATCAACTACACAAAATGCTCCGGGGAAAGGCACTTTTCTAAGATTATGAAATCCGTTAATGTTTCTTTGGGCTGCTAATCCTGAGGAGTTCAAAAACATTATGAGTAAAATATGTTGAGTTAAAGTATAATAAATTTATACGTTTACCTCTGGGCCATACAATGTATTTTTCTTCCAAGTTGGAAATTGAAGAAATGGTACTTTTAAAGACTCTAAAAGCAGTACTTTCACTAATTCCAAATCGTTCTCCAGTTTGTCTACAAATTATATAACATACACATTATTATTATCTTCAAAATAATTATGCTTGCACAGTTAATGAACATATTATTTATCTTGTAATTAAATTTAGAACATAACATATCATGAAACTACAATTACAAACACTATTCATGTAAGAATATTTGAAATTAATATAAAAGCAACATCAGTCAACATAGCTAGCAATAAATTTATTCAACCATTAGATCCATACTAACCGATAGGTTTCCTTTTCATTAGCTAACATCCATAATGTTAATATTAAACAAAAAGAATTATCCAATAACGGTCTTCCTCTTATTGATTTATTTCTAGGTGGTAATGACATCAAAAGTATCTGAAATATAAAAGGTAATTATTTACACCTGAAAAAAGGACAGGCACCACTGCTATTAACAATAAACTATGGACTAACTTACTTCAAATACTTCATGACTCACACGGAAATGATAAATAAATTCTGATGGTGTATTCTTTAAAACAACTGAACCAATGTATGATTTGATTTTTGATCGACTTTCAAAATTACTTATTGCTCTATTGCGTTTAGTTTGTTGGGACTAATTATAAAAACAAATGTCATCCAGATCACTTTTTTGAGTAACTGCATCATAACCCAATACCCGCAATTTGCTGGCAATTGCCACAGAAATTGCAACTAATTCCATTTTACAACCGTCGTCCGCTAAACTTTTTGAATACAAAAAATACAATTTTAATATAAGTATCAGCCATTAGGACATCAGCCATCATGTAATTTTTTATGAGTTCATAATCAAATAATCAAAAATTATATGGTGATAGCGTGATAACAATGTATTTTAAAATTTGTGTTTTAGTTTTCATCACAATCATATTCATCATACTTTCTTATCACATCTATCATGCTTACAGCAGCGCTGAATTATCGAAGGCACGATTATATACACGACGCAGTTAATGATGTAAAATTAACGAAATGTATTTTCAATTATGTATGTATTAAACACAATTATCAGAAAATATTAAGTAAAATAATAAAATAATATTGTCTTATCTTTATTGCTATTAGTTCGTAATTAGTTTCAGTCTAAAATAAAAAATAACCTAATATTATATATTATTAGGTTACTAATCATATTATAATTTGTAATAATCATTTAATTTTGATTAATCAAAAATCCTTGATACGCTATCGGTTATTATATATATATACATATATTGTGAAACATAATTGCATACATTATACGTTATTCGTATAACAATAATTTAGTTATTACTTATTTTAATTACAGTAAAATGCAGACAATAATAACCAAAAGAACACGCATGAACGTAATTGGAAGTGGTCTTATTATTCAGATAGATCGTTTTAAAAAATGTTCTAAAACGTTTGTTTTAAAAAATGATTATAACTTTATAGACTTTAATCAATTTTTCGACTATAGTTTTGAAATGTTAGTTTGTAAATTAAAAAATTTTACCCAGCAATCAACAATTAAATTTAATTTGTATCTCGACACCGAGATATTTCATTTAAAACAGAAAATATTTTAGCATATACAAATTCAAATTTTGAAAATATATTTAAAAAAATGTTTAATAAAATTAACAAGGAGGAAAGTAATTTTGTTACGAAACAAAGCGGGTGGAGTTTATATTCAATATTGATGCGTTACAATTAAGGATTAACATTGTAAACCCGTTAACCGGGTCTACTTATTTAATTTTACCTGATAGTATTCGAAATAAGAAAGCTGTTATAAATGTAAAAAACAATGATGAAAAATGTTTTAAATATGCAATTTTAACTAAATATAATAATCGTGCAGATAAAACTAAATTTAGTAATCAATATTTTAAATTTCTTGAAAAAAAAAGTGGTTTAAATTTTCACTGTCTCTATTTCCCGACACCTGTTAATCAAATTAAAACATTTGAACGTATAAATAATGTATCGGTTAATGTTTTTAGTTTAGATAGTAAAAATACTGTTTTCCCATTATATATGAATAATGAGGAAAGTAAAAACCATTTCGATCTGCTTTTGGTTAAGAATGGGGAAAAATCACATTATTGTTTTATCAATAATTTTTGTAGACTTATTCGTAGTCAAAAGACAAAACATAAATCTAAATTAATTATATGTAAAAGATGTTTTACAACTTTTATTAAAACCCCTTGTAAATATAAGCTATGGGGTGATCATGGATTAAAAAAACATAAAAAAATTTGTGGGAAACATAAATTAGGAAGACCTGTAATGTTTGAACACGGTGATGACGACTTTATATATTTTAAAAATTTTAAAAGAACTCAACGAATACCTATAGTAATTTATTCTGATTTCGAATGCTATTTAAAACCTTCATTAATCAATCAAGACATTAAAACTAAAACAGTGATAACTCATAAACATAAACCAATGAGCTAATGATAGATATAGGCACAAAAGTTTATAATCTTTATCAAATAAATATACCTATGGATAAATTAACTACTGATGAAGAGAATAAATTTCAAAATGTTAAAATATGTGAATGCTGTCTCAAGTCATTTAAAGAAAATAATTTAGTCAAAGTCAGAGATCATAATCATTTTACAGGACGTTTTAGATCAGTTGTTTGTTTAAATTGTAATTTTGAGTTACGTAATGTTTCGTTTGTACCAATATACTTTCATAACTTGTCCTATGACAGTCATTTCATTGTTCGCGAACTTTCTTGTAATTCAAATGATATTTACGTAATACCTAATTCATCAGAAAAATATATATCGTTTAGTAAAAAAATTGAAGATAAATTTAGCATTAAATTTATAGACACATTTCGTTTTATGTCAGAGTCTCTTTGTTCCTTAGCTGATAATTTATCTGAAGACAAAACTAGATTTAGGGAAACCTTAAAAATATTTCCTTTGCCCACTTTAAATTTAGTTACACGTAAAGGTGTGTTTCCTTATGAATATATTGACAATCCTAATAAATTGAATGAAACTTGTTTACCATCAAAACAATCTTTTTATAATTCGTTAAAAGACGAAGAAATTAGTGATGAAGATTATGCGCACGCACATGAGATTTGGAAAACATTTAATTTAAAAACATTAGGACAGTATAGTGATTTATATTTAGCAACTGATGTATGTATACTTGCTGACGTTTTTGAAAATTTTAGAGATATATGTTTGCAAACACTCAAACTAGATGCTTCACATTTTATGACAGCTCCAGGATTTGCATTTGATTGTATGTTAAAACATACTAATGTTAAACTAGAACGACTTAAGCAATATGATATTCAACTTTTTCTAGAGAATGGAATACGTGGTGGAATTTGTCATTCAGTCAAAAGATATGTAAAAGCAAACATTCAGAGTCCGATGGAGAGCATCAATGAAATTAAAATTCCAGATATTGAAGTGCCCATGTCTACTTCTCAAGTGAATTCTGGAAGTAGAACTTATGTTACTGAATGGGTAATAGAAAAAATTACTAAGAATTGTCGTTTATGTGTATCCATGCTTTCAACTGACATTGTTTTAGATGAACATTTTATAATACAACTTTGAAATTTGAATTTTTTTATTTAAATTTTCACCATTTTGCCTATAAAAAAGGTGGTTGTAACATTTTTAAAAATACTGTGAAACAAGTTATTCTTCAAATTTGTTCCCTTCAAAATCTTATTTGTGAAAATCATGATTTGGCTATTATTTTTGTTAATACTACTTGTAATCTTTTAATTTATTCATAGACTAACCATATTAATCGGATATTAAGTAAAGGTGAACTACTAGTAACAGAAGATCTTATTAAATTATCTGCAAGTACTTATTTTAAAAAATACTCAAAGAAAAGAACTGACAAAATGTTAATTATGTATAATAACTTAATAAGTAGGTAATTACTAATTATTGTAAGCAATATAATAATAATATGTAGTATTATATGTAATTATTAATTTTAAGAGTTGTACGCACTGATACTGTATATTTTACTTAATTTATAACTATTTAAAATGTATCTCTTGTAACATACTTTTTACAAAATAAATATAATTTTGTATGTTAATTTTACGATTGTTTATATTAATCTATTTCCAATGAAAGTTTAAAAAAGGCAACACAATAATAGGATTGGAGAATGTACGATCGATTACTTATTATCGATAGCCAACTATCGATAGTAAAATTTCAGTTCGATTGAGGTAGTCATTACGGCAACCGTTGTAGAGCGCTAGTAGCCGTCCACTATCAAATATTTCTACAGCCTTCTATTTAATCTATTTCTATGTGTATATCTTAGTTCATGAAGAAAACCAATCAGTTGTGAAAAACTGATATTAAAGTTCATAGTAAAATGTAAATTGTAAAACACGTGGACAGCTGCATAGCACTTGATAGTTATTACTTAAATAGTTAAATATTAAATAATTTAAATATATGATGTAATTAGTAATTAAATTAATTATTGTATGTTTTATACGTTATACCGTTAAGTTTACTGAAAGTTTAAATTTCTTTAATATCATAATATACTTATACCCGGTTGCACCAAACTAATCATTATCTATCGGTAAATTATTTATCCTCGTGTTAAATTTTAATCTAATGATAAATAAACGTTTGTTAAATTAACACTTGTTAAATTTAAGAGTGTTGCACAATCATTGTTTTATATTTCGATTATTACCAAAATACTGGTTAACAAATAAATGGTACCTGAAATACAAGTTGATAATCGATATTATCATCATAATCATATCATCGGGTCTTATCAATAATTAACTGATTTATACTTGTGTATAATTTAAAAATGTCTGTTATATGCTCGAATTAAAGTTTATTTCGTGCCTTCCTGGTTTTAAGTTTTACTTGTGTATAATTTCTGACCATGTAAGAAAAATAGAGGGAAGCATTTTACAGAAGACGAGAGAAAACTTGTTAGATTTAGTTGTGCCATATAAAGAAATAGTTGAAAATGTCAATGTAAAGTTATATCTCATATTATATATTTATATTATTTTCATTGTATTTATAAAAGGATTTTAAATTTTAAACTAATAATATTTGGAAATTCAAAAAGGAGGAAGTATAGGACATTATATTAAAACAATACAATAGTAATACACGGCAACTTTCTGGTATACGAAACGTATCTCAGTTAAAGACTTGCTATGCTACAGCAAAGAGAGACACTAAAAAAGAAATCAAATAAAAACGTATGAACAATATTGTATTTTAAATAATATTTTTAATATTTAATATGAGTGTTATTAAGACTTGAATTTTTATTTAGGTTGAAATTTACAAGGAACATTATAATAAAACTTAACTATCTTCTGTAGATGAAATTGATGCCAATATATTTATTGATTTAATTATGCCACATAAATATGCTATTGAAGAAGTAAATATTTTATTTAATTTAGAAATAAATATTGTTATTCTTAAATTATGTAAGAAAATGTTGTGATTTATCATAAATTATTTAAGAAATAGTATAATGGTATAATAAAGCCCCCCCCCTGTTGTGCCTATGCTACAGATAGATTATAATTTTAGGAAAGTATTTTTTTTTTTTTTTGAAAACTGCCTGATAGCTTTTTTATTATAACAATCAATGATCTTTAACCATACATTTCAGAGGTATACATAAATATAAGATACTAATGAATAATATTTTGTA